TGGAACAGAACGATATGCGAAGGTTCTACGCGACTGTCAATGGTGTGCGGAGTAAAACAGCGCCATCTCCCGCCATGTGCAATGACCTTGAGGGGAATTTGCTGACAGATAAAACAATGGTGGCTGCCAGGTGGAAAGAACATTTTGAGACATTGTTGAATGGAGAGAGTGAGGGAGTATCGAGGAACAGAGTAAACATCGCAGACGACGATCAAGCTGTGGAGCCTCCAACGCTAGACGAGGTTAAAAAGGCAATACGTGAGCTGAAAAACAATAAGGCTGCTGGGAAGGACGAGCTCCCGGCCGAACTTTTCAAACACGGAAGTGAGCAGCTGCATCAAGCAATCCACCGTATTCTAACGAAGATATGGGAGGACGAAGAACTGCCTGCTAGCTGGTTGTATGGCCTCATTTGCCCATTATTCAAAAAAGGGCACAGACTCGAGTGCGCCAATTATCGAGGAATAACTCTTCTGAATTCGGCGTACAAAATACTGTCACGCGTTCTGTTTAACAGATTGAGACCGCTTGAGGAGTCCTTCGTCGGTGAATACCAGGCTGGTTTTCGTGAGGGCCGATCAACGACGGATCAAATGTTTACCCTGCGTCAAATCCTTGATAAATTCCGGGAGTACAACTTGCAGACTCACCATCTGTTTATTGATTTCAAAGCAGCATACGATTCAGTGAAGAGAAATGAGCTTTGGCAGATTATGCTAGAACATGGTTTTCCGGCGAAACTAATTAGACTGATTCGCGCAACGCTAGATGGATCGAAATCAAGTGTAAGGGTTGCAGATGAGATTTCGACCTCGTTCGTGACCTTAGATGGATTGAAGCAGGATGATGCACTTTCAAACTTACTGTTCAACATTGCTCTTGAAGGAGCGATTAGGAGAGCTGGTGTGCAGAGGAACGGTACCATCATCACACGATCGTACATGCTCCTTGCCTTTGCGGACGACATCGATATCATCGGAATTGACCGTAGAGCAGTGGAAGAGGCGTTTGTGCCTTTTAAGAGGGAGACGGCGAGGATTGGGCTCACGATAAGTTCTACCAAAACGAAGTACATGGTAGCCGGTAGACAGCGTGGGAGCAATAGTGGTGTTGGTAGTGTAGTGTTGTTAGATGGTGAACAATTTGAGGTAGTGGAAGAATTTGTGTATCTTGGAACACTAGTGACATGCGATAATGATGTTACCCGCGAGGTGAAGAGACGTATTGCAGCTGCAAACAGGGCCTTTTACGGATTACGTAGCCAGCTGAAGTCCCGTAGCCTGCAAACGAAAACGAAATTCGCTCTGTATAAGACGCTGATACTTCCGGTAGCCCTCTACGGCCACGAATCGTGGACGTTAAAAGAGTCTGACCGGAGAGCATTTGGTGTCTTCGAGCGTAAGGTGCTGCGAACAATACTCGGCGGTAAACAGGAGAATGGCATCTGGCGGCGTCGTATGAATCACGAGTTGTACCAAGTGTATAACGGTACGGATATAGTGAAGCTTATAAAACACGGCAGACTACGGTGGGCTGGGCATGTAGTGCGGATGCCGGAAGAACGACAAGCAAATATTATATTCAGCAGAGAACCCGGTAGAGGTCGTCGACTCCGGGGTAGACCTCGGACACGTTGGCTATTTGCAGTTGAGGAGGACATCAGGTCGCTAAACGTTCATGGCGACTGGAAGCGATTGGCTCAGGACCGAGTCCAATGGAGAAGAGTACTTCGTTCGGCGTTGAATCAACCTGGCGATTCGTAGCCCATCAAGTATCAAGTAAGGTCACCGAAGCGAGTTTGACTAGTGATGATTTCTTGGGTCCCGATTCCTTCGGAATCTTTAAAAACCGTGCCCTGCCGAAGGTGAAGATATTGGACTGCCTTCAAATGCAGTCAGTATCCGTAGTAGGCTCCAAAAAAACTTATTCCTTGTCAAACTCGTTTCGTGTGACCTTTTCGGGTTCAGCGTTACCTCACTACGTCGCTATTGGCAAGGTTCGGCTGCCTGTACGTCTGTTTGTACCTCGGGTAATGAACTGCTCGAAATGTAAACAACTTGGTCATACATCGGACTACTGCTCGAACAAACCACGCTGCGATCAGTGTGGCGAGCAACATCAAGAGGGCCCTTGCGGTGCTCCTCCAAAATGCGTGTACTGCAAGGAAAGCCTACATACCCTGACTGACTGCCCGAGGTATAAACAGCAGGGATTAAAACTTAAGCGGTCTCTGCAAGCTCGCTCCAAGAGAACTCTAGCAGAACTCTTGAAGAATACCGCTTCATCTTCTCAGACCACACCAAAAAGCAGTAACACGTTCTCCATTTTGCCAGTTGATGATCTAGACTCTGACTCAGAGGTCGGTGAGGGTAGTCCGTTTGTCTTTAAAGGCAATACGAGAAAACGAGCAAAAAACACACCACCGAAAAGCCTCGTAAGACCACTCGTACGGACCACCCTTCCACCTTGGAAAAATCAAGAGGTAACGGAAATTCACCGAAACCCATTCCACCGGGCTATAAACCTTGTAATTATGCAAGAACTTTCCGTCACTTCCAGGATCATCTAAAACCCCAGATGTTCCAGTTTTTCGGCCAGAAAATCTGCTGAATAATCAGCAAGAACATGCTCCCATGTTCACGTTTTCTGGTATTGTGGATAGCTTCTTCAGTATATTCAATATCTCTGACTCAACGAGGAGCATTATTAATTTAGTGCTGCCAATGGTGAAAACTCTTTGAAGCAACTAGCTTCTAGGTGGTCCTTCCTTGCATCGATGATATCCTTTGATGGATAATTCTCCGAATGAGGTCGGGGATATGATCTCTGTTCTTCAGTGGAACTGTAGAAGTCTTATGCCAAAACTTGACACATTTAAATTTTTAGTTAACAACTCACTTTCTGATGCATTTGCCCTTTGTGAAACATGGCTCTCTTCAGACAACGATCTTGCTTTCCACGATTTCAACATTATTCGCCTTGACCGCGCAGATTCGTATGGAGGGGTGCTTCTGGGGATCAGCAAGCTCCATTCCTTCTATAGAATCGATCTGCCTTCAGTGACAGGCATTGAAGTAGTTGAATGTCAGGTTAATATTTGAGGTAAATGCCTCAGTATTGCCGCAGTATATCTTCCACCGAAAACCGCGATCTCTCGTCAAAGTTTCGCGGATATCTGCACGGCTATGCCGGAGCCACGGTTGATCTTGGGAGATTTTAACTCTCACGGTACACGCTGGGGGGAACTGTACGACGACAACCGCTCAACCTTGATATACGACAAGTGCGACTTCTTCAAAATGACAATTCTGAACACCGGGGAAGCAACACGAGTAGCCAAACCTCCAGCAAAAATAAGCAGATTAGACCTCTCACTTTGTTCGAGTTCACTATCGTTGGATTGCTCGTGGAAAGTAATTCAAGATCCCTACGGTAGTGACCATTTGCCAATCAAAATTTCTATTACCAATGGTTCATCTTCTACTCGTTCGGTCGACATCGCGTACGATCTTACGAAAAACATTGACTGGCGAAAATTCGCGACCGCGGTTCTTGATGCCAGTCAATCGGTTGACGTATTTCCTCCGCTGGACGAGTACTCCTTTCTCGCGCGTGTCATCATCGATTGTGCGCTGTGAGCACAGACGAAACGTGTTCCGGGTGTTTCCGTCCGCAAGCGACCTCCCACCCCGTGGTGGGATAAGGATTGCACCGACGCGAACAGCGAGAAGTCCGCCACGTTTAAACGCTTCCGCAAACACGGTAAGGTCGGGGATTTCGAGCGGTACACCGACCTCGAGAAAACCTTTAAGGACTTAATTAAAGCAAAAAACGCGGATACTGGTGTCGGTTCGTCGATGGTTTGTCGCGAGAGACTTCCATGAGAACACTCTGGAATGTCGGCAGGAGAATGCGAAACGCGTCATCACCGATTAATGAAGACAAGGAGTACTCGGACAGATGGATTTTCAGCTTCGCGCGGAAAGTTTGCCCGGACTCGGTACCGGTTCAAACCAACGTTCGTGATCGTCCGTCGGGTAATAACGAAATAGATTCCCCGTTTTCGATGGTGGAATTCTCACTTGCTCTCCTTTCATGTAACAACTCAGCTCCAGGGATGGATAGAATCAAGTTCAACTTGCTCAAAAATCTCCCAGACGTCGCGAAGAGACGCTTGTTGAACTTATTCAATCAATTTCTGGAGCACAACATTGTTCCGGATGATTGGAGGCAAGTAAGAGTTATCGCCATTCGAAAACCCGGTAAACCCGCGTCGGATTATAACTCGTACCGTCCCATCGCGATGCTGTCCTGTATACGAAAATTGTTGGAGAAAATGATTCTTTTTCGTCTAGACAAATGGGTCGAGTCGAATGGTTTACTTTCAGATACGCAATTTGGATTTCGGAGAGGCAAAGGAACGAGCGACTGTCTTGCGTTGCTTTCAACTGAAATTCAACTGGCCTATGCGCAAAAACAGCAAATGGGTTCAGTTTTATTGGACATTAAGGGGGCTCTTGATTCTGTTTGTATCGACGTCCTTTCGGATAAACTCCACGATAGTGGGCTTTCACCAATTATGAACAACTATTTGAGCAACTTGTTGTCTGAGAAATATATGAGCTTTTCTCATGGAAACTCGACAACTTCACGAATTAGTTGCATGGGTCTCCCCCAGGGTTCATGTTTAAGCCCCCTTCTTTATAATTTTTATGTAAAAGACATTGATGGTTGTCTTGATGAAAATTGCTCACTAAGGCAGCTTGCAGATGACGGGGTTGTGTCCGTTATAGGGCCAAGTGCACCGGACCTGCAAGGACCATTGCAAGATACCTTAGACAATTTGTCTACTTGGGCTATGAAGCTGGGTATCGAATTCTCCCCGGTGATGCCACAAAGACAGACCAGCTGGGAGCCCGGCCACGCAACCGAGCATTGAAGCTGCGTTCTTCATGCGTGACGGTAGGACTAACTGTCAACAATGACAAAAGGAACGACGAACAATGATATACGGGCAGACGCCAATGAAACTATTAATATAACGTGTTCTAAGAGAAAATATTGAATTTACTAGTGAAATTTGTTGGATACTGGAATTGAAATATTACCGGTTTATTGCAAATAAATAGAAATTTGGAATAGGTAATATATAGGTATTAACGTAAAAATATTACTCAATTACTGAATATGTTTAGGTCCAGGACCATCTGTAAAGCATAGTTGAAGTGAGCAGTGGATTCGAGTAATTGGGCTACTGAATCGTAAGTAAGGTTATGGAGGAAATTAACAGTTTATTAATTATTGTACACCTATTTTAGTTTTGAAGCAACCGATAATAAAGCTGTCGAAAGTCAGAACAAGCTCAAACGGATACCCTGCTCTCTCTGATAACATTCTTCAAAAGGTTCAGATTCAACAATGAGCGAAGGAGGAAACTATTCCCAGGGAACACCGGAGGTGGACGCTTCAATGCTCGGCTGTGTGGCCTGCGACCGTCCCAATTCAGCCGACAACTTTGTCAGTTGTGATCGTTGTGAGGGCTGGTGGCATATGTCCTGTGCTGGGGTAACGGACTCTATAGAAGATTGTGAGTGGGTGTGCATCAAGTGCCTCCCTGTTCCTGCTCCGTCGATATCCGTCACTTCTACTTCTTCCGCGCGTCAAGCCAGACTGCAACTGGAACTGCGGCGGCTTACTGAAATGCGTGAGCTCGAGAGAATGGCCATGAATGTGGAACTCGAGCGCAAGTTCTTAGAACGGAAGTACCAGATGATGGAGAAATCCTTGCAGGAGGAAGAAGATGATCTACAAAGTGCTCGTAGTCACACCATTAGGCAAGAAGACATGAAACGGGCTAAGGACATCGAAGATTGGGTCGAGAAACAATCCGCTGATTTGGAAGAGTCTGGTTCGATTAGAAGCCTTTCAGTGAAGTTGATGGTGAAAAAGTTAGAGAAGACGAAAATTAATCCCGGATCTGGTACTCATTCCAGGAAATCACCAGCCGTTATTGGTAATTCGGCCGATATCAGAGTAGGAACCAGAATTCAACTATCACCACCGCCTGTTTCCTCCGGAGAACAAGGTTCGATGGATCTAGGAAAGAGAAAGGAATTGTTGCAACCCCCAGAAGACAAACCGTCTGATCTAACGTTCGAGCAAATTGCAGCTTTGCAGGACCATCTAGCGAGGTGCAAAATGCAGCTACAGCCAACGGCAAGTGATCCGAATCCGTACGGAATGTTGAAACCATGCGAGCCGGACGTCAGCAAAGGTGCTGTACCTAAAACCTGTTCGAAATTGGTTCGACCTGCGAAGGAGAGGCTGTCTTTATTTATAACCAAGCCAGCCCCTGGGAACGTGAATCCAGAAGGAAATAGAGAAACCAGTACTAAGCGTAAAGAGCAAAACCCCAGAGTAATCCCGCCAGAACACCTCTCCCCAATAAAGCAGCGAAATGCTACTAATGCACCGCAGCAACAACGCGCTCATGGGCCGCAGTGGATTACTGAAACAGAACGTCGTCTTCTGAGTTCACTAGCGCGTAGACCAAAAGAAACGAGTCAGGAACGAAACCCAACGAACCCAGCTAGCGTACATGCGAATATCATACCCACGATACACGATGAGCAGCAACTAAACGAAATCGATCCGGTATTCGTGGGAAGCCAGCGTAGCGCCCGCGCACGAGCTGCGGAACCACAAAACCTGCGAGAAGAAGGCTACGATATTGGACCTACACACCAACAACTGGCTGCTAGGCAAGTTCTACCACGTGACTTGCCAACATTTTCAGGAAATCCAGCTGATTGGCCCGTCTTTATTAGTCAATACGAGTACACTACCGATGCATGTGGGTATAGCGACGGGGAAAACATGGTACGCCTCCAACGGTGCCTGAAGGGCCCAGCATGGGAATCTGTACGCAGTCGTCTGGTCCTACCGGCTTCAGTCCCCCTAGTGATCCAAACACTCAAAATGCGCTACGGACGTTCCGAGCTACTGATCGAATCACTAGCAGAAAGGGTGAGAACCGCACCTTCGCCAAAGGTAGACAAGCTGGAAATGATAATCGAGTTTGGTAGTATGGTGCAGGCACTTTGCGATCATATTATCGCTGCACATCTATACGACCATCTTGCGAACCCCACTTTGCTGAAAGATTTGGTGGAGAAACTACCTGCCGAGTATCGAATGAGGTGGGCTGGACATCGTAGACAGCAAACGGAGGTAAATTTGAAGACCTTCAGCGATTTCATGGAGGAGATCGTCAGCGATGCCTACAGCGTGTCGAACGTAGCCACTACTTTCGAACGATACAGCAAACAGGATCGCCCGAAGCCACGAGATCGGAATTTAATTCACACCGAAGCGGGGAAGGTGGATTGCTTGGTGTGTAAAAGAGAAGGACATCGCGTAAAGGATTGCAAAATATTCTCCGCCTTACCGGTCGACGACCGCTGGAAGAAGGTGCAAAGTTTGCAATTGTGCCGAACCTGCTTGTCGAATCACGGGCGAAGAGCGTGCCGCAGTACGAAACGCTGTGAGGTCGACGGATGTCAATATCGGCACAATCCACTCTTACATGCTTCCGCTTCGAAGTACAAGGGACAAACCAGCGAGTCGCATGTACAGTATCACCTCAACGAAGCATCCATACCGTCTTTACTTTTCCGCATACTTCCGATCACATTACACAATGGTCTCAAAAGCGTGAAAACGTTTGCCTTTTTAGACGAAGGATCATCCGTAACCATGATCGAAAGCAGTTTGGCAAAGGAATTGGGCGTTACCGGGTACAAAAAGCCACTCTGCTTGAAGTGGACCGGTGACGTGACCAGGGAAGAACTTGACTCACAGCGCATCTCGATCCTCATCTCCGACTGCGGAAATTCTAAACGGTACAGAATGAACGACGTTCGCACAATCCAAGCTTTGGATCTTCCTATGCAGAGTCTACCAATCGACAAGCTGATGAATATTTACCCCCACCTCGCTGGACTTCCTGTTCGAGGTTATCACAACGCAGTTCCCAAATTGCTCATCGGTGTCGATAATCTGCGACTGGCGCTTCCGTTAAAAACTCGGGAAGGTGTTACGGGTGGCCCTACGGCCGTCAAGACACGGTTAGGCTGGTGTGTCTACGGAGGTCAGCGTACTCAAGAACATCCAGAATACAGCTATCACATCTGTGAGTGTGGGGGAGAAGAGGCCTTTGACGAAGCCTTGAAGAAGTACTTTTCTTTTGAGGAGGCCGGAATTAAACCAACGGGTGCGGTAATGTCTGAAGAGGACAAACGATGTGCCCGAATATTAGAAACTACTACTAAACGAGTCGGCGAGAGGTTTGAGTCGGGGCTGCTGTGGAAATATGATAACTTTGAGTTCCCAGACAGTTACCCGATGGCGGTCAAACGACTCCAGTGTCTCGAGAGCAGAATGGCTAAGGATCCGTCGCTCAAGCAAAACATCTTGCGGCAGATTGACGAGTATCAGCAGAAGGGCTATGCGCACCGAGCGACAGCGGAAGAATTAGCAGAAACGGACCCTCGTCGCACATGGTATCTCCCCCTCGGAGCGGTGACCAACCCGAACAAGCCAGGGAAAGTTCGATTAATCTGGGACGCGTCCGCAAAAGTGGATGGCATATCCTTAAACTCGGTTCTACTAAAAGGACCCGACATGGTAACTCCACTGTGCTTCGTAGTCTTTCGGTTCCGACAATATACTGTAGCCGTAAGTGCAGACGTGAAAGAGATGTTCCATCAGGTCCGTACGAGAGGTGCGGATCGTTCTGCACAAAGTTTCCTGTTCCGTGACGACCCTTCGGAAGAACCTCAAGTGTTCCGTATGGACGTTGCTACATTTGGTGCGACGTGTTCACCAGCCATCGCACAGTACGTCAAGAACGCTAACGCAAGATCTTTCGAGAAGGAGTTACCACGAGCTGTTGAGGGGATAGTTTTCAATCACTATGTTGACGACTATCTGGATAGCTTCTCCACCGAGAATAAGGCGAAACAAGTTGCGTCTGAAGTCCGAGAGATCCACAAACGAGGAGGGTTCGAGATTCGGAATTGGTGTTCGAATAGCCCAACGGTTCTTCAGCATTTGGGGGAGAGTCAACAGCATCCGGTGAAGCAAATGTGTCTCGATGAAAAGGAGCAATCTGAACGCGTCCTGGGAATGCGTTGGATGACAAAGTCCGATGAGTTATGTTTTTCAGCTACGATGCGTGGAGATGTCGCATCCATCATCGAGAACGGCCACAAGCCAACAAAGAGACAGATTCTTCGGTGTGTGATGTCTCTCTTCGACCCACTGGGATTCCTCGCCCCATATTTGGTCTTCGGCAAGGTACTCATTCAAAGCGCTTGGCGTTTAGGAATCGGCTGGGATGAGAAAGTAGACGATCGGTTGTTCGAGCAATGGCGCAAATGGACTGAGATGATCGATCACATCAATAGCGTTCGGATTCCAAGATGCTACTTTCGAAAGACAGGGGCCACAAATTTAGCAAACGTTCAACTACATACCTTCGTCGATGCAGGCCGGGACGCTTGTGCCTGCGTGTTGTACCTTCGAGTTGTCAACGAAGATGGAGAAGTGGAAGTAGCGCTAGTTTCCGCAAAAACGAAGGTTGTTCCGCTAAAACCAGTCACTATTCCGAGATTGGAGCTTCAGGCCTGCGTGATGGGAACGCGTCTCGCAAAATACATTATCGACGGCCATTCCTACTCGATCAAAAAGCGGGTATTTTGGAGCGACTCAAGTGCAGCCCTCAGTTGGATTGGTGCGGATCCTCACAAGTACAGTCCCTATATAGCGTACCGAGTGTCCGAAATATTGGAAGCGACCGACCGCACCGAGTGGCGCTGGGTAGCATCGAAAGATAATCCAGCTGACGAGGCTACGAAGTGGGGAGCTGGACCGTATTTCAATTCCAACAGCATCTGGTACAGCGGACCTGAATTTCTATACTTACCTGAGCGAGATTGGAAGAGAGGTGATCCGGAAAAATCAGGAGAAGAAGAGCTACGAGCTTGTTACGTTCATCGGGAGATACATGTTCCCGAATGTATTGTAGACATCGAACGATTCTCGAAGTGGACGCATTTGCAACGCGTCATGGCATACGTTCACCGTTTCACCAACAACTGTCGCAATGTTCGCCTTAACACCAAGGTTCTTACGAAGAAGGAGCTGAAAATGGCCGAAAACTCAATTTTCCGACTAGTTCAGTGGCAATCCTTTCCTGACGAGATTATCACCCTGTCTACAAATCGTTTCCTCCCGTCAGAGCAACAACGACCGTTAGAGAAATCCAGCACTATCTACCAGGTCACACCAATGCTGGATGAATTTGGAGTTCTACGCGTGAACGGCAGAATCGCGGCAGCGCAATGTGCTTCAACTGATGCCAAATACCCCATCATCCTTCCGAGGAAACATCGACTGGCAGCGCTTCTGGTGGATCACTATCATCGTCAACTCAAGCATGGCAACAAAGAGACCACAGTCAATGAGATTCGTCAACGTTTTCATATTCCGAAGCTTCGCTCTTTCGTGAATTTCGTCACAGCTCGGTGCAATCTTTGCAAGATACGGAAAGCACGACCGAGCATTCCACAGATGGCCCCACTTCCGCAAGCCAGATTATCACCATTCACCCGTCCATTCAGCTACGTTGGACTGGACTATTTTGGTCCCTTTCTTGTGAAAGTTGGGCGTAGTAAAGTGAAAAGGTGGATTGCGCTCTTCACTTGTCTGACACTACGAGCCGTCCACCTGGAAATCGCGAGCAACTTGACAACTGAATCCTGTGTAGCGTGCGTTCGTCGATTCGTGTGCCGTAGAGGATTTCCCGTTGAAATCCACAGCGATAACGGCACCAACTTTCAAGGTGCAGAGCGATTACTACGTGAGCAAATCAATACCAAGCTTGCGACTACGTTCACCAGTTCAACAACAGCTTGGCGATTCATTCCCCCGGGTGCACCTCACATGGGCGGCGCCTGGGAGCGAATGGTCAGATCCGTGAAAACAGCGCTGACGGCAGCCTATAACAATGAAAAACTAGACGATGATGCTTTGCACACGATGATTGTAGAAGCAGAATCCATAGTCAACAGCAGGCCGTTGACCTACCTTCCGCTGGACTCTGCGGAGCAGGAAGCAATCACCCCTAACCATTTCCTTCTAGGGAGCTCAGCCGGCGTCAAGCAACCAGTCGTGCAGTACGAAGATAACAACGCACTCTTGAAGCGATCGTGGGCCATGATCCAAGAACGGCTGAACTCGTTTTGGAAGCGGTGGGTACGGGAGTACTTACCCACACTAACTAGAAGAACGAAATGGTTTGGCTCGGAGAGGAATGTTGCAGCAGGGGACCTAGTAATAATCATAGATGATACCAGAAGGAACGGATGGACGCGTGGTCGCGTTTTGGAAGCCATAACTGCTGCGGATGGCAGAGTTCGGCAGGCGATCGTTCAAACGAATGGAGGTATACTCAGAAGACCGGTCTCCAAGCTTGCAGTTCTTGATGTGGCCAAGGAAGATGGAACCAAGGAGGCTCACTGGTTCCACCGGGGGGAGAATGATGCCACAAAGACAGACCAGCTGGGAGCCCGGCCACGCAACCGAGCATTGAAGCTGCGTTCTTCATGCGTGACGGTAGGACTAACTGTCAACAATGACAAAAGGAACGACGAACAATGATATACGGGCAGACGCCAATGAAACTATTAATATAACGTGTTCTAAGAGAAAATATTGAATTTACTAGTGAAATTTGTTGGATACTGGAATTGAAATATTACCGGTTTATTGCAAATAAATAGAAATTTGGAATAGGTAATATATAGGTATTAACGTAAAAATATTACTCAATTACTGAATATGTTTAGGTCCAGGACCATCTGTAAAGCATAGTTGAAGTGAGCAGTGCACAGCAAAAAAATAATTTTGATATCACGTCAAAGTGGATGCACTACAATCATGTCGAAAATATGGTGTAATATTACTTGCTAAAAAGGACAAAATTATCATTAATACAATGCATGAACTGACATTACGCTGCTTTTACTGCATTTGTTTATTTATGTGGTCATAAAAATTACATGAAATTTTCGACATGATTGTAGTGCATCCACTTTGATGTGATATCAAAATTATTTTTTTGCTGTGTGGATTCGAGTAATTGGGCTACTGAATCGTAAGTAAGGTTATGGAGGAAATTAACAGTTTATTAATTATTGTACACCTATTTTAGTTTTGAAGCAACCGATAATAAAGCTGTCGAAAGTCAGAACAAGCTCAAACGGATACCCTGCTCTCTCTGATAACACCGGAGAAAACTGAGTTGGTTGTTTTTTCTAGGAAGCATCATCCTGCACAGTTACAGCTTCAACTAAAGGGTAGAACAATCACTCAAAGTATTTCTTTCAAGTATTTAATGTCTGGTTCGATTCCAAAAGCACGTGGGGAAAACATATTGCGTATGTGAAACAAAAATGCCAACAAAGAATCAATTTTCTTCGTACAATTACCGGAACTTGGTGGGGAGCACACCCGGAAGATCTGATCAGGTTGTATCGAACAACCATCTTGTCGGTTCTAGAGTACGGTAGCTTCTGCTTTCAATCCGCGGCGAAAACACATATCTTGAAGCTGCAACGAGTTCAATACCGTTGCCTCCGAATCGCGCTTGGCTGTATGCACTCGACGGATACGATGAGCCTCGAAGTACTCGCGGGTGTTCTTCCACTGACAGATCGTTTCGCGGAACTGTCCTTTCGGTTTCTTATCCGTTGTGAAGTAATGAACCCATTGGTAATAGAAAACTTTGAGAAGCTGCTCGACAGAAATCCTCAAACAAGATTCATGAGTCTCTATTACGATTACATGACGCTGGAGATTGGCCCTTCTTCATTCAATTCCTCTCGTGTTTGCCTTCAAGACTTTTATAGTTCCTCTGTAAATTTTGATCTGACCATGTTGCAAGAAATCCGTGGAATACCAGATCACCATCGGTCGATGGTTGTTCCCTTAATTTTTGCAAACAAGTACCATGGAGTATTCAACGAATTTCATAGCGCCTCATATCAACTGCAAAAACCTTGTTCCGTATACGTTGCGGAACTAGCAGCCATATTTTACGCAGTAGAGCAAATTGCCTCACTACCATCTGATCACTATTTTATTTTTACTGATAGCCTTAGCTCGTTGGAGGCTATTCGATCAATGAGGCCGATGAAGCACTCCTCGTATTTCCTGACCGAAATCCGAGCTAAATTGAGTACTTTATCTAACTGCTCCTATACCATCACCTTAGTTTGGGTCCCATCTCATTGCTCAATTCCGGGTAATGAGAAAGCGGACTCGCTAGCTAAGGTGGGCGCTATGGAAGGCGATATTTTTGATAGACAAATCGCCTTTGCGGAATTTTTTTCAATTACTCGTCAGCACGTCCTCACCAACTGGCAACAAAAATGGAATGAGAGTGATCTGGGAAGATGGTTACATTATATTCTCCCACAGGTGTCGAACAAGCCATGGTTCAAAGGATTGGACATGAGCCGTGACTTTATACGTGTCATGTCAAGGCTCATGTCCAATCACTACTCGTTAGACTCGCATTTCTTCCGAGTCGGGCTCGCAGGCAGCAATTTGAGCGCTTGTGGTAGTGGCTATCACGATATCGACCACGTGCTTTGGTCATGCACCCTACATTGTGTTGCTAGATCCGAGTTATCCGCATCCCTCAGGGCCCGAGGAAAACAACCTATGCAGCCCGTTAGAGACATCTTGGCGAGCCGAGATCTCGAATATTTTAATTTAATTTATGTGTTTTTAAAACGGATTGATCTGAGGATTTAGTAGTTAGTGTCACCTTGTGTTCTCTCAAGTTGCTAGGTCTCCATCGGTGTACCCCCATGTTTGTCTTTTTCTCCAGTATGTCGCTTAGTTCTAGATCAAGAGCACATTGCTCTAAAAAACCTTGTGTTCTCAATCCCTACCCTGCCACCCGTTTGTTACAATTTGTTACCCCTAACCTCGAGAAAGCCGCGAGTAATCGGCCCCCGCTTTACTAACGTTAGTTTTAAGTAATTTTGTACCCAAACGATGAATATCGGCTCCGCAAAGCTACGGCAAATGAGCCTGGAAAAATAAACGCATTAAAAAAAAATCAATCACACGGATGTCTTTGAGGCATGAAATTATTCCGTGAAATTATATTGATTTGCCAAAACAAAATGTGAGTATTTTAAAAGTTATTCCATAAATCATTTTTTATTAAACTAATTCAAAACTGTTGAATTTAATTCGTTCACTACTCGGTGTACATTTCCTTCTATGCCGTTCACGAATATGGGAACGGATTTTTTTCCGAACTTTAAAATCTTTAAAATAAATTATAAGTTTGACAAAAACTCCCAATGAACATTATAATACCCTTAAAATGCATAATTTTTTGGTTATATCATACATAAAATATATGCAGCAGATATGCTTGTCAAAATAACTGAAATAAAACTAAATTTGACTTAAAAGTATGCATAGCAGTGTAAATTATTTCCATGTTGAACTAGTTTTCGGCTAAAAATCACGTTCATAAAATATTAAAATAAAAACCAAAGTGTTTACTCTATTTATACAAGCCATTACTATTCCACTTTTATGCATCGAATGAATGAAAACGGCGAGGCTGGATTTAGCATGGAAAGAAGTCTACATTTCCTTTTTTTTCTTTTTGAAGGTTTCATAGATGGGTAATGGATTTTAACTCACAAAAGACCAACTGGTACCCACAAACGCAATAAGTTGTTCGAAGGAACGCTGATGAATGTGGGTAACAATTATTCATATTTACCTAAAAAAATAATCAATTCAATCAACAACTAATAATTCATTCTGATAAGACGTCTTCGACAGGTTTCGAAAAAACCCACGGAGCTCTAGGATCAGTTTCATGAATTGACCACTTTCACGGATATTCCGTATCTTCCACAGGACCAGACTTGTGACCTACCGGAACCAAATGTTCCCAAAAGTTGGCTTACTATCTACTTAACAACTTCTTCAAAGACATCAGGAAGTTATCTCTTGAAATTGCCGTACAATCAGTGTTTGGTCCCAACTAGCTCAAATCCCATATGCTACGTGTATTTGTTAATGCCGGATCGACCGTACTATAGGAATCCAGTGGCAGCCGTACTATAGGAATCCGACAAGAACGAATCCGTACTATAGGAATCTTGACTGTATATGGAAGATTATGCAGTGAAAACTCATTGATAATTGATTGTGATATAAATATTTAGTTTGGATTACAACTTCAGTTATCACAATGTTATTGCATGTATGGTGAAAAATCAACATTAAAATACATCAAATTTTAATTTCATCTTTAGAATATCATGATATATTTCCATATGAACTTCAAATGGTTTGTGCCAAGTCAGTTTCTTACTTAATTACTTCAAATTATGGGAGGCTAATCAGGACCCAATTTGGAACCGTTTGAGCACTGTGGAGCGATTTCAAATTTGCATCAGTCTAGTAATCTCCCTCTCATACTCGAAATGTGTCTCGACCAACCTGGGACAACGATGCCTTATACCAGTGGTGCTCATCCCCTGTGTGTTTCCCAATGATTTTGGCCATACATTCGTTATGCAAAAATAAATTTATGCTTTGACCGTCACTGCCCTATAAGCTCTCTGATAAAAGCCCACGGTGGTTCAAAACAAAATAATTGGTCATTCATCATTGTAATGGTGATATTGAACATACTACCAATTAATTTATTTCGAACAATTAAAGGTTTATGACTGAAGTGCGAGGTGCTCATTATGCCCACGTGATCACTATGCCCCTCTTACCCCTAGCCATTATTCATGTCAAGCTGAATCTGTCTAAAACATTTAAAATGTTTTGTGATTGGTATGATGATTTGTTAGTGCAGAATGCATAAAATGCTAACCGCATCATCATGGAAATAACCTGGGTGGACCATGTCCAATGAACTGTATACAGGTGAGGAAAGGATCATAAAATTGTGTTCATGTAGTGCAAAATATGTAAGTGGTTGTGTAGCTTACCTTCAATGACGTAAAACTCCACTTTTTTCATGTCATTTTTTTATTGTACCATGTCTCCCTCTGGACTAAGTATCCCCACCCTCGCCTGCATTAAGGTCTAGCTCAAAGGACTAATACATTAACATCTTGATGATGAAGTCTGATGGTTTGGACGGCCTAGATTTCAGAATTTATAGTTTAAAGAAAAATATAACAGGTAAGTTCAAACGATATAAGACGAACAAGCCTCGTTTATTATTGCTCATCTCCCTTCAGTTTCCAAAGGTGTTCAGTCAAGTCGTTTTGTAGCTGGTTATGAAGAAATGTATCATGAACTTTCTCGAAACGTGCTAGAAATGCTCCAAAGTCTACTTCACCCGTCGATAGAACAGAATTGGTATTGGCCGAGGTGTTGCCATCAAATGGCGTTGAACAATCTCGCTGATCTTCAATAATCATATTGTGGAGAATAATGCAAGTGCGCATGATTTATCCCAACTCTTCCTTATTCCAGAGTCTGGCAGGGTTTTTAATAATTTCAAATCGACTAGTCAGTACTCCAAACGTGCGTTCTACATCTTTTATCGCGGATTCCTGCATTTCAGCGAAGTGGTATGTTGAAAAGAAACAATAAAT